CGGGCTCATGTCTGCCCTGCGGTCCCTGCTGGGTGGCTGCAAGGAGGCCACCATGGAGAGGTGTGGAGCGAGAGCAGGAAAAGCCTTCAACACCCCCAGCCTGGGTCTGGGGGGGACAGGACAGGGGGGTCTGTGCGTAGGGAGGGAAAAGCAGAGAGCCTGGAAGGAGGAGCGCAGCGGGAAGGAGCCGTCCAGAGCCCCGGCTGGGGTTTCATTTCCCTGTCCTGGCCAGGCTCGGTGCAAACCTGCAGCTCTGACCCTGCCACCGCAAGCGGTACCGAAACCGCGGTGGCTTTCTTTTTAAAAACTGGTTTCTGCTGAGGACATCACTTGCTGTGCAACTTCAGGCTTTGCCCCTCTTTGGCCCAGCTCAGCCCCTGTTACCCCCCCCCGGGGAACCATGGATGGTTGCCCTGCCTCTTGCCGCGGTGCGGAGCATCGGGCTGAAGCAGCCGTGCTGGGGTGTTGCTGGGAAGCTCCTTTTTGGGCCACCCTTTGCCGAGCAGTTTGTTACCTCTGAGTTTTCCCTGGCAGCGGTGGGGGCCTGGGCGGCTCCAACTCCATCCCCTGGCTCGACGGCGGCTCCTGCTCCCTGTCCCAGGCTCTCCCAGCACCGGCCATGGCACTGCCTTGCACAACTCGCTGCAATCCCGCTCACAGGAGGATGTTATTTCAAAACCTTCTTCTTACGAGTCAAAAGGAAGCCGGAGGCTTGGCCTCGCTCCCCCAGCAGCCCCCAGCGCTGCTCCGGGGCCGCACGCTGCCTGGGGAGGCTCCCGCTGCGGCTGCAGTAATTGCACCACCTTCGCAGCAACCGGTTGCAATGGGTTTGCGTCCCCCCCCCCCTCCAAAGCCGCTCGGGGAGGCTTCGCACTCCTCCTTGCAGGCTGCTTTCTGGGTGCGAGCTGTGCTGAAGGGGGGGGGGATTTCCGCGGTAAAACGTCCCAAACCACATAATTCACCCCCTGCTCTCCAGGTTGTGTTACTTTAGATGAGTGAGGTGGAATTTTTTTTGTTTTCTTCAATGTTTTTTGCTGGGGTTTCCTGCAGCCATTGCACAAGAGGAGCCCAGTTGTTAGAAAACACTTTTTTTTTTCTTGTTTTCCCTCCCTTTCTTTTTTTTTTTTCCCCCCGTTGCAGGCGCTGAGAGAGCATGAAGCAACGTGACTCAGTTGCTGGGGAAAAAATAATATCGTCCCCCCCATTGGTGGCCGTCCCCTCTAGGCTGAAGTTGCTTTTTTGATACTCTAACCCCTGAAATATTTTAATATCTCCTCCCTTCTATTCAGTCTTGGAACTAATTAGCAACTAACTAATGGCCTGGGTGGGTGGGTGGGTGAGCCCCTCTGCCGAGAGCTGCAGGAAGGCATCTTCAGGGATTTCTCCCGGGCAGTTTGGGGCTCAGCGGGTGCCCGTGACCCTGAAGCCGCCGCTTGTGGGGAGACCACCCACCTTGGCTGCGAATTTTGCAATCCCCGTTTCCCATCCAACACCAAGCCAGCCGGTAGCTTCGTGTCCGTTTGCCCGCGGCGCTTGCCGAGAGCCATTTCTGCGGTGCCGGGGCCGTATGCTAGAGCTGATAAAGATGTGGCTTGGGGCTGGGTCATGTTTGAAGCCGGCACCAGCTCGGTGAGAATGTGCAAGACTTTGGGAGATGGCGTGGTCCTTCCCACGCTGCTGCCTGCTTTGCTGCTGGGGCTGCAGCCCATCCCTGCCCAGCAGCAAGGCTTGGCTTTGTGTTGCTCCCTCGACATCTCGTCTAGGGCTAAAATGCTGTTAAAATAAATAAAGAATATAAATGGAGCATTTACGATTCAGTGGGATCCTGGGCCTATTGCTGTCGTTCAGCACCAGGGTCGTTCCCTCGCTCCTGGGAGTGATTTATGTTAATGACTGTTCAACAAACTGTTTTAAGCAACAGTAAATCCATTAGAAGCATCAATATTTTTCCCTCATGATTAATGGTACCTTCAAGATAAACCAGAGACCGTTGGGAATAAAATTCCAGGATTAATGCAATGAGTGTGACACTACCAAACTGGAGAGAGGTGGCACGAGCGGGGCAGGCGGGAATTGCCTTTTGCAGAAGGATTAGCTGCAAATTTCCTGATGCCTCTTATTGCATTAAGGTTTAAACCCAACCCGAGCCCTTCAAAAAGACTCTGATTTTATATTGCCAAACCCTGCAGGATCAGTAAGCAAACACTGATTTTGCTCGTCCATGCGCCGGGGCACCCCCAAATCCATCGGTGGGTTCCTCTGCCTGTCCTGGGCTGATAAAGCAGCCGCAGGGCACGGACGCAATTGCAGGGTCCAGGGGGTGCTGAGCCCTTGCCCCCCCGTCCCACGCAGGGGTGGGATTTGGGGACCGCGGGGAAGTTTTACTTAGCCAAAGTCTTTGTAATTTGTAAGGAAATTGGTTTCTCTTCCCAGCGGGAGATAGGATCTTTAAATGCACCCACTGGAAAATTGTATTTTTCTAATTGTCTTTATTTTTTTGGTGGGTTTTTTTGGTCTTTATTCTCAATATGTCACTGCTGTGGGGACTCTTGGCTCAGCACGGGGCGGTACCGTGGCACACGGGCTGGCCACAGCGGCACCGAAACCACCTGAACTGGATTCTCAGCATCGTCGGTCCCAGCAACTCTCATCCCCCAAAAGCTGCCGAAGGAGCGGGTGGGCTCAGCTCTGGCTCCCACGGGTGTCCCCAGGGCCATGGTGCACCCAGGCCAAACTGTAGCCCCAACCCTTAACCTCCTGGGTGCTCTTCTGCCATGCAATATTTTTTTCATGCAGGAAATGAGAGGAAAAAAAACCCAATTTCCCCTTCCATGCCCATGAGAGCTCTTGCCTCAGCCGTGGGTGCTGCACCGGCAGCACCCGGGTTATTTTGCAACTGGGGCCACCATCCTTCAGGTGCCAGGAGCCTCCCCGGGTCCCTGTGGAGCAGTGGGGTGTGGAATTTGGGGGTGCAGAGGCCAGGAACTGGTCCAGGGCCCTTTTCTCCAGCAGATGGAGGCGTTGCTTTGCTTCCACCACCCTGCAGGTTACCACTCCCCATGCTGGGAAGGCTGGGACTGGGGGCTGGCATGGGGGCAGGCCAGCCGCTGAGCCTGGAAGGAAGCAAATGGGGGTTTTGGGGAGGTGAAGCAGCCCCTTTGCTGGGGACACAGGGGCAGATGGTCCCCAGCCAGCTGGGCAAGGGGACACCAGGGTGGCCGAGCGCCTTGTGGGTGATGGCAGCTCGACCAAGGGCAGGGATGGCCTCGCATGGGGTAGGGTGTCCCCTGGGGCTGATGGATGAGGACCGAGAGGGTCACTTCAAGAGGGGACACCCCACCCCAGCACCACTGGCTCCTGCCCCTTGGCCCTACTGCAGTGCCCCTCCGTGCCTCAGTTTCCCCAGCCAGCGAGCTGCAGCGCAGACCCCCAGTGCCTGGATTTCCAGGCTCATGGGAGAGGTTTGGCCGCGTGTGTACATCCATGTGCACACCCCCCTGTGTGTATGCGACTCCTGTTAACACCTCTTCTCCAACACCTCTTCGTCCCGCCCCCGAATTTTCCCACAAGCAGGAGGTGAGGTGCTGCCTTTGCACCCTTCAGCTTAAGGGCATACTTATAAACACTCTATTAATAATTAATAATAGATTAATAGCAGTGGCAGTTTGCTAACACATGCGCATTAATCATTTATTAGTTATTAAGACAGACTTTTGTACCCTCTGAGTGTTGGTTTAGCGTCGTTTATTAAGGGGCTTGCAGGGTGGTGATGGGCTGCAAGCCCCCAGCCCAGCCGGGCGCTGCTGCCCAGTTTCCAGCCATCGCTGCTTTAAACCTGGGAGATTTGCTTCCAGTTCGTTTGGCACATGCGGATGAATCTAATTTCTAAACAAGGTTGGTCAAACGTCATTAAACCACTGGCTGGACCCTGCTCTTTGGCATCTAAAGGGTCCTTGCCTGTGGCGAGGGACACCCCGGGGTGCTGGTCTTTCAGCTTCACCCAACCTCCAGCCTTCCCTGTTCTCCCAGTCTGGGTTTTTTCTGCTGGTTTTCTGGGATGAAGGATCATCCTAAACTGAGCTCTGGGGGTTTAACATCTGCCTGAAGCCCGGGACGCCTTCAGGCTGGCACCGGGCTGGAGCAGGTCTGGAGAGCCCCTAGGCACGAATCCTGCACATGGTGCAAGCGGCTCCGACCGCCCTTTCTGGGCGCTGGCTCCACTCGGCCCTGCTCAGGCTTTCTCTGTTGACTTTGGCTTCTCTCCTCTGAGCCGCACAGAGAACTAAAGGGGCAACAAAACCAAATGAGTCACAGAAGTCCCTTTTTTTTTTTTTTTTTTGTTTGTTTGTTTCTTTTCCCCCGCAAATACATTTCACATGCTCGTTACATACAAAACCGTGCCAGGGCTGTGCTGCCCAAACCTGCCTTTGCTCCCGGCTGCAAGGGTCCGTGCCTGACCCCCTCCCCACCCCCCAGTAAAAAAAAAAAACACCCATACACTGAACAAGGGCGTGCGGGCGACGCCGGTAGGACCCATGGTACGACACGGCATGCACGGCTCAGGGAGCGAGGGGGCACCAGGCATGCGAAGGGGCCGAGCCCGTGGCCAGGGATGGATGGGGAGAGATGGGCAGCACCCCCCACCCCCAGATCAGGGGCCGGATCCTGGCCGTGACCAGCTGCAGCCCAGGGAGCACCCAGGGGAGGAGGGCTGGGTGCTGAGCCCGCCGCCTCCTTTGTCCCTCTCCCCACTGGGGCTCAGCCAGGGGCTGAGGAGCACCCGATGCCCATGGGTGTGAGAGCAGGATGGGGGCAGTGGGATGGGGTGCAGGGCTGAGGAGCACCCACCTGACACCCATGGGTGCGAGAGCAGGAGGGGGGCAGTGGGACGGGGTGCAGGGGACGACCCGAGCAGCCGTTCTCACTTGTGCCCCATGCAGTGAAGCTCAGGGGGGGTCTACAGCCCTGACCCCTCGGGAGCTCCTGCCTCCAGCTTCTGAAGCGAGCGTGCCCAGCCCGACTGCCATCGGCTGGAGAGGGGACATCCAGCTGGGGGAACTTGCCCACAGGAATGGGGACAGAGGTGGGAACCCCCGGGTGCACACGGCGGGAGGAGGAGGAGGAGGAGGAGGAGGAGGAGGAGGAAGCTATGGGCTCTCTGGCCCATCTAGGTCCCATTCAGGCTCTTCCCTTCCAGCTGGGTCAGCTCTGCGCCTTCTCCCACCCAAACCCCTACGCCCCGAGCCGAACCCAGCGGTGCCCTGGGCAGGGGTGGGAAGGGAAGCTTGGGGACCGTCCCCACAGCAGCAGGGAGTGGAGCCCTCAACACCAACCCGTGGTCCCCAGCACCAGAGGGTGCAGGATCCGGGCAAACGTGATGGAGGTGTCAGCCGGGATCATCTCCCCACGTTTGCTTTTGCCGTTGCTTCCCGAGCTGCTTGTCCCAAGCCTTTCTCTCCTCTTCGTTCCTGGGCTGTACGGCCTCCCCGCACAGGGCGAGCCAGCTCCTGCTCTCCCACAGACCTCGACTTTGCAAGACAAAGAAAAAGGACCCCAAAGTGCCTTTTTCACCCCTACAAATGCGCCCCCCCCCCCTTCACCCCTGCTGCTGCCCTGGTGGCCTGGGTGGATGCAAAGATGGGGCCTTGCATCACCCTGGGGCTGCTCCTCCTGATTTAATTACCTTGGCCTCATTTTGCCTTTTTTTTTTTCCCCTTTTTTCCTTGCTGACACCTCCTCCGAGCCCAGCCTTGGGAGGGTTATTATTGCTTGAGCAGGAGCATCCCCAGGCACCAGCGTTTGCAGATGCCGTGTCTTAAATCCACCGATGGGAAGCTCTCAAGGCACGGCTGTGCCTCGGGGGGTCCGGCTTTGCTGAGGGGCTGGGGGAGACCCCCATCTCAGCACAACCTCCCCCAGTGCCCCAAGTCCCGCATCGCCCCGGAAGACTTTTCTCTTGGAAATTCATTTTTAAAAAAAAAGAAAAAATCCTTGGACCAAAAAAAACCCCAAAAAACCCCAACAAGAAGAAAGAGAAGAACCATAAACAACCACCAGGAAAGATTTCTGGAGAGTCTCTTAAAAAAAAAGGGAAAGGGGAAAAAAAAGGCAGGAGTTTTTTTTTTTCCCAGGCCCAAATGCTGCTGATCTCTTGGCTAGAGAAATGCATAGTTGGTAGCAAAAATGTCGGCTACATTGGGAGCCTCTGGAGCCAGGGTGGCCCCTGAGCCATTGCACCCCAAGGGCTCGCCGCAGGGCTGGGACAGCTGGGGTCATTGCTCCCCGACCCTGAGGTCCATGCGGTTCCGACCCTGTGGCACCTCCAGCGTGTCTCCGGCCACGTCCCAACATGGGGAGATCCCACCGCCAGCCCCGGGACGTCGCCAGTGCTCCCACCCCCCTGCCCTGGCCCTGTCCCGCCACGGCCATGCCCAGGGCCAGGCAGCAGACAACGGTTCTCCTCTGGGAGAGGCTCAGATCATCTTCATGTTGAACTTCCTGGCTCCTCCTTGGCCAGTGGTGGTGGTGGGACCGTCCACCTTGCGGAAGGAGTACTCCACTGAGAAGTTATTCTTGTGCTGCCCCCGGCCCCGGCTCCAGACGAAGAGGAGGAGGAAGCAGAAGAGCACCACGCCGAGGAAGGTGATGCAGCCCATGGCCGTGGAGACCAGGATGGTCTTGAGGTCCAACGTAAACTTCAAGAAGACTTGCGTGTCGTTGTGGGAGGTGTCGTTGAACTCGCTGAGGTACAAAGTTCGGTTGGCATAATGGGAGCCATCAGCTGGCCGCCCCTTGACCGTCAGGGTGGCGAAGTAGGTGTCGTTGCCCCCCGCGTTGCTGGCGATGCAGATGTAGGTGCCGCTGTCCTGCACCTGGGCAAAACGGATCTCCAGGGTGCCCCCGGGCAGCACAGTCGCCCGCCCCGTGCTGCGGGTGGTGATCATGCGGTGCTGGGGGGACACCCAGGCAATGGAGGGGTCCGGCTCCCCGTCCGCCCGGCAAAGGAAGGACACGGACTGTCCTTCCCGGGCCGTCACGTGCTGCAGCTTCCGATCCCTTATCTTGGGCTTCTGGCAGGTGAAGTACTCGAAGAGGATGGAGTCCGGGAAGTCGCGCAGGGCATTGCCCTGGATTTCGGGCGGTGAGGAGCACATGGGCTGCTGCCCGTCAAAGTTAAGCGTCTTCCGTCGCTGCAGGATCCAGAGGAGGCGGCAGTCGCAGGCCAGGGGGTTCCTGTCCACCCGCAGAGTCTCCAGTGTGTTGACGGAGTGGAAGGTGCTCTCCTCCAGCGTGGAGAGAAAGTTGCTGGAGAGGTTGAGCAGCCGGATTTGTCTCAGGCCGGAGAAAGCCTGCGGCTCCACGGACACCAAGAGAGCACCCACGATGTGGAGCTCCTGGAGCCGGATGAGGTCTTTAAAGGAGCCCTTCAGCACAGTGCTAATGGGGTTGTAGGACAGGTTCAGGTACCGGAGGTACACCAGGTTCCTCAAGGCAGCGGCGGGCACGGCTGTGATGTTGGTGTAGGTGATGGAGAGTGAGGTGAGGTTCAGGCCCTGGAAGCTGGTGGGGGAGACGTCTTCCAGCAGCGGCCAGTTGTCGATCTCCAGCTGCAGGAGGTTGTAGAGCTTCTTGAAGTTTTGGTCCTCCAGTGCGGAGATGCTGAGATGCCGGAGCCGCAGCACCTCCAGGAGCTGGAGGTAGGAGAGCGACTCGGCCGAGATGGAGGTCAGGTTGCACTTCTCGATGGTCAGCTGCTCCAGGCCAAGCAGCCCCGAGAAGGCCCGCTGGGAGATGTACACCAAGTCGTTATCGCCTACCTCCAGGCTCTTCAGGTTTCGCAGGTCCTGGAACATGTAGTCCAGCAGGATGACAAGTTTGTTCTCACTGATGTCCAGGAGGGTGAGGTTGGTCAGCTTGGTGAAGACCCCTGGGGGGATGAGCTTGAGCTGGTTCCCCCGCAGCCGCAAGGTCTGCAGGTTGAAGAGGTTGCTGAAGGCGCCCGGCTCCACATTGGAGATGATGTTCTCGCTGAAATCCAGCTCCTCCAGCAGCGGGTATGGGGAGAGGTCCCCCGGGTTCAGGCAGCGGATGCGGTTCTTGTTGAGCTCCAGGATCTTGGTCTCGGTGGGGATGCCCTCGGGGATGGAGGTGAGCCGCTTGCGGTGACACACCACCGACTTGATCTGCGGGGCGCACTCGCAGCGGGCCGGGCAGGCTGCCACCCGCGGGGGGCTCGGGAGGACCAGGTGGAGGACCAGGACCAGGAGCCAACATGTCATTGTGTAGAGCATGGTCTTATGGGCTCACTACCATTCTCCCATGCGCCTGGAAGGGAGAGAGACGCGGAGTCAGCAGCGAGCCCGGGAGAGCCTTACAAAGTCCTACCCAGCCCCAGGTCACCCATCTGTGGGTCGAGACTGATAAATGCTCCCCAAACCACGGCCCACGGCCCTGATAAGGTCCCAGCCCCCCCCCAGAAGACCCTCC